TTGAGATATTATTGATTGTAAGATAAATTAGTTTAAATATCACTAAGAAAAAAAAAATGCTGTCAGTTCAACTATGACTGGTCATTGCTTGTAAATGACATCCAATTTTGAGTATGTAAAATGTGAAAAAATATGCATCTTAGAATTGGTCACATATAGTATCAAAACTAACTACTATGAAAACATTTCACTCAAATCACCTTCGGAATTGGGATTTGAAATTCACTCATAAATATTTAAACTCATTATTTTCATTACTAAATTGTAGCTGGCTGGTTACATACCTATTCTGTGATAAACATTTATTTATAAAAGGGATATTTTTAGGGACTCTGAAGTTTGATGTTACAACTTAAAAAAAATAAACATTTAAAAGTTTTCATGTTCAACTGAGGCATATATTTACCTGGACACTAAACCCTTCTGCAACGCAAGCTCAGCTCTTCCACAGTCACACACCCTTGTGCATTCATCTTAGAGATGACACGCTGTACATGGAATAATATTCCATGGCCAAGTAGTTAAACCTGGCAGGAAGCTAAGAAATACCTATTTAATAGAAAGGTTCACTGGATTATAGCAACCTTTTAGCTGGAAAATGCTGAAACATTAAAAAAAAGATATCCTAGATATAATTCCAGATATTATACTTTGGTTGTTACCCTTCTACCTGACAAGCATAAGAGATAACAATATGTGGCCAGTTGGCTGACTTCTTACATCTTTATTAGAGACACAGTTATAATAGATTTAAAAGATTTAGTTAGTTTCTGATTGGTAATTCATGACTTTCTATGGGTCTTTTCAACATACCTCATGCACTATCTTGAGACATCATATAGTTAATTTTAAATATCCATGAAAATGGGAAAAGGGAATGACCCTGGCCTAGAGCAGTTCCTGTCATTTAGTAAGCTCTCAAGAAATATTTGTGAGTTGAATGGAGGAAGCTCTCAAACTTCAAGTTTGGTGGTCTAACAGAAAGGACTCAGATTCAATAGACGTGGTCCTGGTTGTGGCTGTATTACTACCTCTGTGACTTTGGGCAATTTAACTAACCTGTTTGTGTCTTAGGTTCTCCCTTGTGTAAGTGGCCTTAATAACACATAGACTACCTACTTTATAGGGTTACTGTGAAGGGATGATAGATTAAATTATGCCCGTGAATGCATTCTGAAAAGTCGAAAAGCTATACCATATAATTAGTCACACAGAATTGAACGTGTGGGCTCATTTCTGTCCTACAACAGAATCAGAGGTCAAATAGTTGAGTCCAACTTCTCAGCCAGTGCCTGTGTAAAGATTTCCCAATGTGGTGATTAGTGATGAAACTGTAATATCAATTAAAAATGGCATGCAACACTGCAACATCTTGGTCACTTTTACTGTAGCTAATGTATAATGCTTCTTAAAACACATTTAATTAATATGAAACATGAGAGAGTTCAGCTGAACAATAGGTTGCAATGTAGCAGGACTGTGGTGAAAGAACAGATAATGAAGACAATGCTTGATTAGAATCATAGAAATCTTGGCCAAGTTTTTTTTTTTGAAGCACTTCTTGCATTCTTTCAGACAGGCACGGCAACACTCCATATGTCATCTGGTTAAAGCACTAATTATGAAAACTGAGTTAGTCAACAAAAGATTTCTCATTCTTAAAACACTGTGACGAGGAGCAGAAAAAAGGGCTCTGAATAAGACCCACAGAGCCCCCATGGAGTCTCTAGATGGGCTTCAGGAGATCTGTGAATGCCTCAAAATTCCACATCCAACACTATGTTCTAGGGGAAGGTGTTCATAGTTTTTCAAAGTGATTTAGAACTCTCCAAGAGTTAAGAATAGTGAGTTAGATGATAGAACTCAAGCAAGAGTTCTGAAGATAACGGTGATTCAGAAGACCTTTCTTTGCCTCCTTTTTGATGCTTGTTTACACGATTCTCTTTTTAGTCCTCATTTTTCACTAGTATGCATCAAGATGACTGTGAAGGCAATCAGGGACTCTTAGATCAGTAGGTAGAGGGCAAAGTAAAGGACAGTCATGAATAAATATTGAATATAGAGTCATTAATGTTGTTCTGATCTCATTTCTTCAGGAAAGGGTGAAGAAAAAAGAAAAAGCAACATATTTCCTTTTTCTTTTTCTTTAAGGACATGGGGAAATGGGGCTAGGTATGTTTCTATGTGTAGCCACACATCTACAGAGGTGGCTGTTGGGACAAGACAATAAAAGAAATGTGGAATTGAGAATGAGGTAAGAGTAGAAAGGCAATATGCACACAGCCTAGAAAATGCAAGTAGAAACGTAACACATGTTTTTACTTACCCACTGCTTTATAAGTCCGCTAACCAGCCAGTTTCTAGTTAGAGAATATAGTGGCGACTCAGTTCTTAAAATGCTCATGTGCACTAAAAATATCAAACCAAAGAGTTGAGCCAAGGATGAAGTAAACTCAATTCTAATTCTAGTAAACATTAAAAAGTAAAATTGAAAAAAAGAACAATTATTTTGAAGTTCTTGTTCAACTGTAACCAAAAATGTAACTTCAGAAAAAGGTTTTCAGAACAGAACTGAGGCCACCAGAGGCAGGAAAGGGGGAGGGAGAGGGGACTAGTGAGAAATTGGTAAAAGGCCATAAAAAAGAAAAAGAAAAAAAAAAAAAAGGTTTTCTGTGATATTTTGCAATACTATCTGGCTTGCACATTACTATTATATCGAGGAAAGTAAATTATTTATTTATTTATTTATTTTTTCCTTTTTGTCTTTTTTTACTGACCGGTAACGGGATCGCAACCCTCGGTGTCGCACCCGTACCGGGGATCAGCAACGGGATCGCAACCCTTGGTGTTGCGCCCGCACCATGCTCAGCCAGTGAGCAGGAACCAGTCTCCACATGGGATCCAAACCCTCGGCGGGAGCGCCGCCGCACTCCCAAGCGGCGCACTCTCCAGTGCGCCACCGGGCCGGCCCAGGAAAGTAAATTATGCATAGCAGAACCAAACTTACACTAAATTAAAGTATCTACTGGTTAAATCCTGCTGAACTACAGGGAAACATGGCTCACTATGTATCTGGGGAAGTTAGCTACAGCTTTTGGCAATGAAATTTAGGATTTGGCCAACACGTGCTATACTAGCATAATAATGCCATAATTTAAGGGGAATAAAAACAAACCAAGATCCAGAGTTCTCTGACATTTATGGATGAAATCTTCCCCTTAAGGCACAGGGTGATGACCCATAGATCATTACATGATAGTATGGTTTTTGAAAATTCAGATACTGGTGACAAAGAATAGAGACTTTTGAAATTGATTTCAGAATGCACGTAAAAATGCTAAGTTGATGGTTGTGTTTAGTGATAGCTTTGAATGTAAATTCGAAATCTTTAAAACAAAATTAATAAAAAAAAATCTATATAGTTTTAGATGTGGCAAAACAAGTAACAAAAAATTTGTCTAAGAAATATCAAGGTCAAATTGCAAGAGATGGAAAAAGGAGTCCCTTGACAGATCCTTGCTCAGATAACTGCCCTGCAAATTTGAAATGAATAAACACTTTTTGATTTGCTAATGTACTAAAAATGCACAAAGTCCTATCAATTAAAAATGGCATGCAACATCTTGGTCACTTTTACTGTAACTACTGTACAATGTTTCTTAAAACATATTTAATTAACATGGAACGTGAGAGAGTTGAGTTGAACAGTAGGTTGGATGTAGCAGGTCTGTGATGGAAACAGATAAAGAAGAGAATGCTTCACTGGGATTACAGCGACATGTCAGTATGTACGAGCATTCATGTCACCTCCACAGATAGTTAAATTATTTCAAAAATGAATATTCTTGGTAAATGCGTTTGGTTTACATCTCAGAAAAAAAAAGGCTAGAAAAATCACAAAAGAAGCAGGATTAATATGCCTCATTTCTGCTATGGAGGGGCTTGTTCAAGAAGCACAGGTTAGCTTAAACTAATGAAAATCATCTTGTTCACTGTTAGGGGCTCCACTAAACAAGTTTACTACTGTTATCTTAACAGTAACATTTGTTAGAAAAATTATTATCTTTGAAATGGTTATCTTTGCATCTCAACTTATTTCTTGCTCCATTTCTCTTCCTGTGACTACTATCTACTTTCCTTATATAATTAGAAATGTCAAGGAATTCCCTAGATGGAGTTCTTGAAGCTTAAAGGGGAAAAGTTAGGGGCCAGTTTCGAGTGGCATGTTTGTCTATCTTTTAAACAGCAATGGTGGCACACTTACTTGTCTACGTTTCCAGAAGCTCTTCTGCTATCCAGAAATAACTTCAACAGGAGCACATTACATAGACCCAAATAGACCTGGCAGTTCAGGCCTGAGCTTTTTCATAGAGACGGCTAGTACACATGACAGGGACATTATAGCCGATTAAAAGGGCCCTAGTGAAATTTCTCTCCTGTTTTGTGAAAGTGAGTTTAAGGAATCCTGACCTACCTGATGAATTTCCCATAATCTGTTTCAATCCTATAGTGAGGATGCTAAATATTATTCTAAAATGTGCAAGGTTTTGAGATTTTCAGTAAATCTGGTTGCCTTCTGACTTCTATTCCCCTTATGTGACAAAATTCTGCCCTTTCTCTCTTTTGCTTTCTTTTTCTTAACACACTTTTTTCCTGTCTTCCCAAGTCTGTCTGCCAAAAGAATAAATGTTTTAGCTACCTATTCAGACCAGCTGTACAAAATGCTACAACATCATTTGATCTCCACCATATTTGGGTTTCATGAAACTTTCCCTAATTGTCAGTGTAGTGCTGTTAGTCACATTTTGCTTCTGTATATCTTTTAAAAGAGCAGCCATGTTTAATATTGTGAAATATGATCTGTCTCCACCTCTCTCTATCCTCTAAAGCAGTGATAAATTTCAGAGCATGTTCAGCAGAATTGGATTATATTATGCATAGTATACATGCTCATCACCAGAACTGTACTCCCTAGAATATATGCAAGTAGAATGAATTGCTGAGACTTCAAAATCCCAGTTCCTCAGAACTGATTTTATTAGCCAGTGCATGCCAAGGATGGGCAGTAAAAGAAGTATTATTTTTGCAGTTTTCTTTCATCATTGAAGCCCTTTGCTATTATAGACTGTGGGATTCCAGTCTTCTGATTAAGCCTTGCCAGCCATGTGCCTCTGCAGCACCAAAGAAATTGCTTTGCAGCCTGTCACTTCTTCCGGCAGGCAGCCGTCCTGGTCTCGGAGAGTGGGGTCAGCACCAGACTGGAGCAGTAGCTCCACAATATCCAAAAACTCACAGGCAGCAGCTGAAAGGAAAATCGACAAATATGAAAACAAGTCTACCACGAGACAGAGAAACGATGTCAGCAGGAAGGGCAAGTGCTGAGCAATAGGGAACATTGAATAATGAGCAATAATACAGTGTCTGAAGGATGATCAGGCCTTGTAACAAGAACTGTGGTATCACACTGGCTTTTCAAATCTTTGGAAAATCAAATTTACCTTCTTGGTTGCCTAGGAACACATACATACACAAAATATATTTTTAATATTGTGAAGCTTTTTGACTCTATTCTTTAAGATGGGATAAAGGGAAAGAATAAAAACTACAGTGTTTAACCATCTTTTTATTTTGATCTATATTTCAGAATAATGATAGATGTGCTATGTCAAAAGGCTAAAAATATTATAAATATCAAAGAAAATATTTTATTTTGTCTTTGAAGAGGGGGTAAGTGGGTAACAAACTAAACTTTAAAATATGTACAAAACAAAACAAAACAAAAAAAACCCACCAACCCAGATCAATAAAGCTGGCATAGTAATCAGACCATACCACCTCTATGGAACCAAAAAAAGGCACCAGTGGGTGTCACCATTAAGTCTAAGGCATAAGAAGTGAAAAAAACAAATTATAGATATAAAGACTTATATAAAGATGGTATTATGTTGCCCCAGGATGGACCAAAGGGTTAGAACAGAGAGCCGTCTATTCTTTTGCATATAAATGGAAACTTGATATATGACAAAGCTGGCATCACATATCAGTGAGGAAACAAAGATCCATTAATTAGACGGTGCTGAGACAACTGGGATAAAGGCAAAAATAGGTATGTCACAGAAGATGAAACATAATGGCAATAAAAATATGAAAAGATGAGTAACCCATTAGTAATCAGGGAGATGAAAGCTAAGACCAAGAGATACCCACTAGATTGGTAAAAATCGAGAACTTCAACAACGCCAAGCACTGAAGAGGAGCAGAGCAAGGGAAACTCCCCTTTAGACTTCTGACAGTATGCATTGGTGTAGCTACTTGGGACAATTTGGGATTACAGGTTAAACCTAAACATACACACACTCCAACCCAGCAATTCTACTTCTAGTTACACACACACACACACACACACACACACACACACACACACATCTAGTTATATACATAGAAACTTTTGCATGTGTTCTCCAGGAGATTGCAAGAATGCACATAGCAGCACTGTTCATAATGGACCCCAAATGTAAACAACCCAAATGCTCATTAATAGTAACATGTAAAAATACTGTTCACTTGCATGATAAAATTCCATAAAATTGGACAAGGGGCATAAAGAATAATTATGATTTGTAACAATATACATGCTAGTAATATTGATTTGATCAACATATCTCAATGTTGAACCCCAAAAGTATGTAAAATCAATTTTGATTCAATAAAAATTAAAATAAAATAAAATCCACATAACATTAAAACTTAATGAACTATAGCTTCAACATGGATTTATCTCCTAAACATAATGTTGAAAGAAAAAAAGCAAGTCAGAAGAACACATATGGTTTGATTCTACTTAAATAAAAATTTAAAAAGTAAGCAAAACTAAACATTATTGTTCAGACATACAAATTATATGTAGTGAAACCATAAAGGAAATCATTAACATGAGATTACCATTTAGGGGATGTTAGGGAGGGCCATGTGATTGGAGAGGCACACACAGGGGGCTTCAAAAATATTGGTGATGTTCTATTTCTTAAGCTAGGAAGTGGGTAAAATTTTAAAAGCTGTATTTTAAATTCTTCACATACATTTTATATACTCTTTTATAGTATTATATATTACACAACAATAACAAAAGGTTAAAAATAAGAGGGAGAGAAAGAAGGGTATGGAGCTTGAGTTGATTTTATGGAGTACATACTGCACCAGCACTATCAAGAATGCAGGTAAGATTGCCACTCTTGAGAATTTATTATAAATATGTAAATAGCCAACTCTAACACAAAAGAATGAATAAGTGCTGTGGTAGAGCCATGCACACTGCAAAGGTAGGGGGAAGGAGGAATCTTGAAGGATCAGAAAGAACACCATGAGTAGGTGGTATGTAAGCTAAGCTTTGAAGGATAGAGTAAAATCCTTCTACTTGAGAAGGAAAGGCATTGCTGGTGTGAAAACACCACTAGCAGAGGCATGAGAGCACAGGGAATGCTGAGAGAACTGTCTGCTGGCTCACAGAAGCAATACAAAGAGTTGAGAGGGGAGAGGCTGGATTGAAGCCTAAGTATGTACGGCCTTGGATATTAAGAAGTTTGGGTTTTATGGAGTGAGCCACAGGCGTTTAAGAGGAGGGGAGTGGAATAATTTGGCCTCTGCACTAGTATAATAATTCTATAAAGAGTGACTTAGGGAGCTTAGAAATTTGTGGCAGGTAGACCAATTAGAAGGCTGTAGTAGTTCCTCAGGTGGCCTGAAATTAGACAGTGTCAGCAAGAATATAAAGAAGTGTATGAAAAAGAGTGCCACTGAAATTTAAGTAGATCGGGAATGGATAAGTACTGGATGTGATGTAAGGAGTGAGGTAATTAGAAGAATCAAAGATGACACCTATGTTTCCAGTACTGGAGACCACATAGATGCTGGTGACACTATCTCTACAATAAAGAACCGGAAGAAGGAAGAGCAGGAGTTTTTAGAGGGGAAAAGAATAAGAAAAGTATTAAGGGGAGAAATAATCTTGGTTTGGGACATAATGTGTTAGGTGGTGCTAGAAGATATCAATGTTGATGAATCCAGCAGGGAGGCGAAATTTGAATCTGGAAAAAAAAATGCCATATACATTGCTATCTCTATTTTTATAGTACTATGTGACTTTATGAAGATATATCTTTGGGGCTCAGGATTTTTAGCAATTTTTCTTGATAGTTTTGTTAAATATATTTATATCATATGATCACCCTGGCCAAAGAGCTGTCTACCTAAGGTAGTCTCCCTTACCACACTGTAGGAATATGTCTGAAAGAGACATATGGATTATTGAAAATTCCTCATGGTGTCCCCATCAGTAGACACACTTGTGTGACTGGGAAAACAAAAAGCTTAAGAGGAAAAATTGTTAATGCCAGTTATTAAATTTCCACTTGTGTTTTTGACTACAATTTACATTTATTCACTTCAGATTTTGCCACTTAACATACGGAGTAAGAGTTCCTACTCTCTTCATCCCCCTGCTCCCCACCCGGTTTGCCGAGGTAATATTCACTCTTAAAAATGTTGATGAATTCTGACAAATGTATCTACTTGTGTAACTACCGCTACAATCAAGATACGACATTTCCATCACCCCAAAAAGTTCCCTCCTGCCTCTATGCAGTCAATCTTCTATCCCCACCCACAGCCCCTGGCAACCACTGACCTGATTTCTGTCCCTATAGCTTTGCCTTTCTAGAAATAGAAATTATATAGAAGACAGGTGGTCCCTGACTTACAATGCTCTGACTTACAAATTTTTGACTTTAGGATGGGTTTAATGGAACATGACCACATCGTAAGCTGAGGAGCATCTTGTGCAGCCTTTTGTGTCTGGTTTCTTTCACTTAGCATATTGCTTTTGAGATTCATCCAAGTTGCTGCAAGTATTAGTAGTTTCCTCTTTTACTGCTGAGTACTATTCCGTCATATGGATGTATGCAGGAATTTGGGTTGCTTCAGTTTTTTGCAACATGAATAGAGATCCCTATGAACACTTGGGTACAAGTCTTTGTGTGGACCTGTTTCACGTTTTCACGTCTTTGGGTAAATATCTAGGAGCTGGATTGCTGACTCATACGACAAATAAATGTTTAACTTTATAAGAAATTACCAAACTTTTCCAAAGTTTGCATTCTTACCATTGAGTATGAATTCCAGTTGCTTTGCATCCTTGTCAGCACTTGCTATTATCATTAAGAATATTTTCAGCCATTCTAGTTAGGTCTGTAGTAGCTTTTCATTGTGATTTTTAATTTGCATTTCCCTAATGTCTAATGATGAACATCTTTCATGTGCTTATGTGCTAACCATCTATCTCCAGTGATTTATATGTTCAAATCTTATGCTTATTTATTAATTGGGTTGTCATCTTCTTACAAGTTATAAGAATTCTTTATATAATCTGGGTTTTTCCCCCTAAAGATATATGTTTTGTAAGTATTTTCTCCCAGCCTGTGACTTGTCATTTATTTTTTTAAGAGTGTCTTTTGAAGAGTAATAGTTTTTAATTTTGATGAAGTCCAATTTATTTTTTTCTTTTATGTTTTTTGTGTCTTATCTAAAAAATCTTTGCCTACCTAAAAATCACAAAGATTTTCTTTTACTTCTTTATAATTTTAGCTCTCACATCTAGGCCTAAGGTCCATTTCTAGTTAATTTTTGTGTAGGGTAGGAGGAAAGGGTAGAGGTTAATTTTTTTTTCATGTGGATGTCCAACTGTTCCAGCACCACATGTCGAAAAGACAATCCTTTCCTCTATTGAATCATTTTGGCATCTTTGTCAAAAATCAATTGACCTTCTGTGATTGAATCTGTTTCTCGGTTATCTATCATGTTTCGTTGATCTGTACATCTTTCCTTATACCAATACCACATTGTCTTGATTTCTGTAGCTTTATAGTAAGTCCTGAAATCAGCGTGGATCTTCCAACTTCATTCTTTTTCAAAGCTGTTTTGGCTATTCTGGGTCCTTTGTGTTTCCATATAAGTTTTAAAATCAGCTTGTAAGTTTTTACAAAAATCCTGTTGGAATTTTGATTGGGATCACGTTCAATCTATGGATCAATTTGGGGAGAACAGATAGCTTAATAATATTGAGTCTTCTGATTTGTGAACAACAGTATCTCTCTCCATTTACTTAAATTTTCTTTTATTTCTGTCAGCAATGTTTAGGAGTCCTCAACATACAAATCTTATTTTATATGATTTGTTGCCAGAAATTTCATGTTTTTTGAAGCAACTATAAAAAGCATTTAAAAAAATTTCTGTTTACAATTGACTCAC